TGTTGTTCGAGCTCGCGTAGTCGGTTTTGTTCAGGTGTTCCATAGCGTGAGCCTGGTGAATCCAGCAGAGGTGACCGTCTGCTATCAGACATGTTCACGCCACGCTCACCAAGCAGGTCCTTGAGAGCTCCGTGCTGGATGGCCAACGCATTAGTGTCACGCTGCTGATTCTCAAGCTGAGCCTTCACATCGCGGTTCTCAATGCTGAGCGTCTGGTTCTCCTTCAGTGCGGCCTGGAGCTGTCTTCGAAGCTGTAGTCCTTCCCTGCTGCTTTGTTCCTGGTAGGCTTCTAGACCAGCAATCCGCTCTTCAGCACGACGTAACTTCTCAGCAGCAGAGTCCGCAGCCAGCTGGCTTGTCTTCACTAGCTCATTGGCGCGCTCAACCTGGGACTGAAGTACAGCAACCCGTTGATCTGCCAGTGAGTTGCCCTTGTCAGAGCCTCTACTGACTACACGGTCGAATCCAGAAAGAAGAGCAATCTTGTGGCTCTCAGCCTCCTTAGCATGGGTATCAGCCAGTTCTTCAGCTTCCTTAAGTCGTCTAGCAGTGTTTTCCAGTTCGTTGGTGCGTTCTTCATGCTCTGCTCTCAACTGCAGCAACTTCCTCTCCACAGTATCACGATGCTGGCGCTCCTCTTCAAGTTTTCGCTCCATAAGCTCTGCTTTGGCAACAGATGCCTGCACCGCGTCTCGAAGAGATACAACATTTAATCCGTGATTCTCCATACGGCTAGAAATATCTTCATGTTTCTCAGCAAGTTCAGCGTAGTCAACTTGAAGCATTTTCAGCGCAGCTTCAGCCTCAGAGCGTGCAGCGGCCTCCTCCCGGTACGAGGACTGGATCTGATGTAGTTCTACTCGCATACTCTCCAGCTCCAGAGGATTATTCTGAAGTTCTAACTCAGTGAGCCTCTTGTTCGTCATCTCATGGAGTTCCTCGGCCAGCTCCTTTGCACGTTTCTCCTCCTGAAGTTCTAAAGACAATGATTCAACCTTCGCCTTCAACTCATTCTGTACTGTTAGAGAAAGAGCTAGACGCCGAGTTATTTCGGTCGTGCGCTGGGAGTTGCTTTCGTCAAGATCACGATTGCTCATCTCAGACATTGGCGTGCCACCCTGGCTGCCTCCACCTCCACCATGAGCAGCAAGCCTAGCACGAGCATACGCTGCTTCATTCAAAGCTATATCTCGCTGGTGTTCGACTTCTGCAACCCGTTTGGAAGCAATGCTAGCTTGACGATCAACGTTGGCTTGCATCTTGGCAAGTTCAGTCTTCATGGCAAGTAACATTTCCACCAGTGGACGATCTCCTTCGTTAAAGGCGTCTACCGATCTCTCTTCAAAAGTACCAGGAGTGGATGATGGAGTGTAACCTGCCTTGCGAGCTAACGCAAGTTCAGATACGTACCATGCATTCTTCGTTTTCATGGTCTCCAACTCCTTTATCAAAGCTTCCTGGTGGGCGGTAAGACGTGGTGAGCGTGGTTCATCTGCGAGACTCCTGGAATTCCTATAAGCCCTGTTTTCGGATGCGAGTATTGAATCGTCAACGCTGTCTATCGAGTTTTGCTGTCTTTGCTGTCTAAGGGACCGTTGCCGTGCAGGAGTTACCATGGGGGCGGCTTCTCCGGCTTCCATTGCGCGTGCAGAAAGCCGTGATGATGAGTGCTGTTGGCGAGTAGCAGCAGTCATTGGGCTGGATTCCCGCGTTCCTCTATTACTACCATGAACTGATGTATCTCGGCTGTGCTGTCGATCTTTCTCAGAGGGCCGAGAGTGATCTGAGGAAGAAGAAATACTTCTATCAGGCTTTCCGGATGACGGCTGTTGCTGATGTTGCTGCGTTTGCTGCTGCATTTGCTGATGTGGATGTTGCTGTGTTTGCTGCTGTGATTGCTGTTGGTGAGGATGTTGTTGCTGTTGCTGTTTTTTTGCTTGTGAAGGAATGGCATTAGTTCTGGGATGTGGTGCTTGGCCTGATGGAGGTGGTCCGGCAGGTGTCTGAGCAATCGAGGCTCTTGGTAACCTGGAGCCACCGGCTGGGCTTCCATTAGGATCCCTAGCTGGGCCAGGTGGTCCCCGGCGCTGAGCATCAGGAATAACATGTTGAGCCTCACGGGATGTACGCCCGGATTGACCGCCAGTCCTTTCATTCTGCGCAACTCTCCGAGGCGGTGGCCGTTCTCCAGTAGGGGAGGTAGGTTGGTCATTAGGGTATCGAATTTTAGTAGTATCCAAAACATAGACGAGACCAAGTTCCATCGGGTCCCGAGGAGCAGAACTTGGCTCTCCAGCAAGAACTATAATGTTTTTCCCAAGGGTGGTCATGCTGTGACCTGATCGAGGGGAGGGTGCCGGGCCCATGTTGTGGAAAGAATACCATCGTCGGATCGAGATGCGGAATGCAATTAAGTCTCCAAGATCCACACCTTCCTCTGTTCGTCCACCAAAAACGTACATCACATCGCCAACCAGGGTAGCGGCATGGCCTTCTCTCGGAGTTGGAGTAAACCCAACATAATCAATTTGCGTCCAGGAGTTGCCTCTGGGATCATATGCCCAGACATCGTTAAACCATTGGACACCATTAGTACCTCCAAATCTATTGTTCTCGTTAGCATGGCGACTATTTGAATCTATAGAACAAAGAGGATGACATACAGATAAAGTTTGTCATTGAAAGTAACCATTGTGTGGTTAGTTCGCGCAGGAGGAACCTGTCCAACAGGAGGACCATCGTCATGGCTGTTTCTAAGAAGGAATTCCCACTTATTTCCGGGATTGTTCATGGCGTTGAGATCGAAAGCAAGTAAATCGTTAAAGAAAAAGCCCTCCACCTGACCACCAAAGACATAGATCTTTGACCCAAGCAGGTTCAATGAATGTCCATATCTTCCAGGCGGACGAGGGCCCGGGGAGGCGGCACAAGACCATTGTCGAGAAGCTGTAAAAACAACCAATTAGCACCCTAAACTTACGGTCCATAAACATATTAAGAGCAGCCTCATTGTACTCACAAGTGTTGAGGAAATACAAGGTATCATCAAGGGTATCATTATCATGGATCTTCGTATCACCTCCGTAAACAATCAAAGCATTTCCAACTAGTAAACTAGCATGTCCAACTCTGGGGCCTGGCCCTTCGGTGACAGGTGAGATTGGAAAGCAGGTGGAATTGTTCCCACTGTTTTCTATCATCCATAGATCGCCCTTAACAGTTGAACCGTCTACCAGGCCACCCATTAAGTATATATCACCCTCAGCAGAGGCAATGGCGTTGATAGCGGCTCCATATCGAGGGAAAGGTGTGAGTTGCGGCGAAGGGAAGTTCATGCGTCGTTGCGACCAAGGATAGAGGGCATGATTAGCAGCAGAAGGTGCCTGTATGCCATTAACGGGCTGGCTGCGTAGTACCTACAAAAATAAGCATTAGACACTCAATCGAGTGCAAGGGNNGAAAAAAAAAGTTTTTTTTTTTTTTAAGTCATTAAGCAAGGCTGGCAAACGAACCTTTGGCTCTGAATCCGCCCGATCTCTGCGTACATTGGGCAGTTGAACCGGGCCGGCTGATGAAGAGTTTACTTGACCGGGAGCTGGTATGGGGCCGGTGCTTGGCCCAAACTGCTGAACCGGCTCAACATCTTTCTCTATCTCTCGGATACCATTTAGCGAACTGGACAGGCTGGACGTTGGAACCGATCCCGTCCCTTCAGATGTATGGATGTTCCTCGTTGCAGCCCCAGAGGGAGCGGGCTGGTTGTGGTTCAGAGCATGGCTCTGGGTCTGGCTTTGATTTTGGTGCTGGTTCTTTTTCGACGACTTGAAAAAAAAGGACATTTTCAATGATCGAGTCTAAACGAGCGTCAAGCCTCTCCCCAGCAGAGAGACCACGGTTCGAAGGGAGAGAAAGGGAGGGAGGAAGAGAGGGAGGGAGAGAAAGAGAAGAAAGAAGCGAGCAAAGAGTCGTCCGTCGTCCCAGATGGTCGGTTTCGAACAGGGATAGAAAAGAAAAGAAAAGAAAAATAAAAAAACAAAAAAAAGGATAATTTTTGATCAAATATCGAGAACGCAAGGTATAGACATCCACGGCAACAATGAAACGAAGGCGGTCGTTAAATGTGTTAAAGGGCCCCTGACGGGCAGGAAATCGCCGTTTGGATCGAATCGAGGATGCCGTCCTGACGCCTGTTCACTAGCCAGGGCGAGCGGCAGGGCAACCGAAGCCGAATTACAACGAAACAAGAGGGAACTAGAATGAATTCGGAGAAGCGATCGGACAGGTTGTATAGACGTCGTATGCCGGCAGCGTGCGAGTGAAGGAGTGGCTAAGCGATCGGTCGTTCCAAGGGAGTCTTGTGGGTGTTCCTGACCCAAACATTCATCGAGCGCGCGCGATCGGCTGCAGAATCGTAGTACTAGACGAAATAAGCATTGGGAGCTGACGTTGACGACAGAGCGAGGGAGCCCACGGGCAGGGAGAGGGCGGCGGCGGCGGCGGCGGGCGAGAGGCTCTTTCGCTGCGTCCTTGACCGTGAGGACCTGGCGCAGCGGCGGGAAGACGAGGATGCGGGCGTGAAGGAGATGAAGAAGTGAAGTTCGGCCTCGCTGTCGTTTTCTCTTGCTCGCCTTTTTTTTTCGCTGCCAGAAAAAGACGGCGAGGAAGCTCGTCAGGGGGTCGACGAATCGGGTTAGTCGGCGGCGCTTAGTCAGGGGCCGCGATCTGATTAAGCGCAGAAAGGTTAATCCGGTATAAAGGTGCCGGGCGGGCGGGCGGGAGGGCAAGATAAGGGCTAGGTCGATTGGGCAGGCTAAGCAGGGAGGCGGCACTAGAGTAGCTAGATTGCTAGATGGCAGATGCTATGTACACGACGGGGGAGGTGTCCAAAAAGTAAAAGGACCGGGGGTGGGAGAGCTACAGGCAGAGGTACAGGCCGCTGGGCAGAGCAGGAAAAACAAGAGATGCCTGATGCAAAGCTTATCAGAGCAATAACGGGGCTCCTATATAGCTAGCCACTCCAGCCGCATCGAGGGTGGTGAGGAAACGGGGCTGGTCAATGACGCCTTCCCGTACTTCCGCAGTCGAGTGTAATTGTATGGGAGGGGTGCGAGGAACCCGGCACCGGCAGATGCAGCTGCAGCCAGCCAGAAGGATGGGTCGTCAAACGCAACCACGCCACTGGTCAAGTGGTAGTCCACCAGGTTCTGCACGGTCTCCATCCCGAGCATCGACACAAGGCTCATGCCCGCTGCCGTTTTGGCTGCAGCTTTCCATGACAGTTGGTCGCGGCCCAATCGCAGTAGTACAGTCTCCAGGAGCATGGACGATGTTAGTCCCGAGGCCACTGCACGGTATGTTAGCATGGGCATGTGCAGACCTACAAAATAACAACCAGGGTTATGACGTACTTGCTATTCCCATGATGAGACCGGTTCCAATGCCAGGATAGCATGACTGCAGGAACCACATGGCAGAAAAGTCACCTAGGCTGCACCCGATCAGGCACCGGAACGTGTTGACACCAGCCCGCTTCCAAGTCGGCCGTGAACTCCAGAATCCCAGGGACAATATGGGCTCGTCACTCTTTTGGGACTTTGCGCAATGGTGTGCAAACCGTATCATCGTGAGTGAAGCAGGTATAGCAGAGCGGAATTTGTGGGAGAACGAAGTATCCCTAGGAAGCTGGCGGGTCCAGGGCAGTCTTGTAGGTCGTACCACGCAAAATGACATGTTTGCGAGGGTATCCGTAGGTATTTTGTATTCTGGTTCTGTGTATAGGTCTTTTCCCTCAATGGCAGCTCTTGTATCCCTCGTCGTGAGATTGTGGCTGCGTAAGCAAGCTAGATATATGAGGCCACAGCAAGAATATGCCAGACACGGCTATTCGACGAAGATTGCGACTATCAAATCCGCTACGGTACACGCTCCACCCAAGCGTGAGAAGAGTGAAGAGTAGGAAGGCAGGCCGAAAGCGCTCGAAGATGCTCACTGACGCGGTTCCAATTGATAGGAAGTCAAGGACAACCTGCAGAATAAAAGACGGCGGTTAGCTTGGTTGAACAACTAGATATACCGTCTAGAGAACTCACCGGAAGCCAGCAGCAAGAACTGTGAAGCAGGGCAAAGAGGACTGGAGACAAGCTGGCTAGAACTCCCTGAGGCTGAGAATCTTCTTTCTGGCCTGGAGACGGAGACTGTTTGGTCTCGCTGGAAGACGATGGCGAATTTTCACAGCAAGACATCGTACGAGAAGGAGTCTTCGTATATTTAAGGTAAAACGATGCTGGTCGGCTCTTCCTTCGCAAAGCTCAAGGCCCTTGTCCGCGTGGTTTTTGCGAGCTTACGAGCCAGGCGATTGGTAGGGAATCAAACGAAGCTTGCGATGGCTCCCCTGTTGACATGCGAGGAAGTGGAGTGCTCAAGGTTTTGAAGACTTGGTATCCTACCAAATTGATACGATAGAGAGGACTATTCATGCATTAATTGAATGAAACAAGGCCCTTCCTCCTTTACTGGTTTTTGGTGGTACTACTGCTAACTACCAAAAAGCTACAACGGCGAGCTAGCAAATAGGACTCGGTGAACAATGGAAAGGCTCCTTAGCCTACCTCCATATCAAAGAATGCATGTTCAGTTAGCTGCACCGCCTCCGTCTACCTCCATCCCAACATATGAACCTGCCGCCAACGCCGTCCTCGCCGTCCTCACCATCCTCGCCCGTCATCTATCAACTTTTTATCTTCTTTCAGCCTCCAACAACTGCACGTTACACATTACTAAGCATCCTCACGTGTTGATGGCGGACTATCGATAATCCGTCGGAGCCTTCCCAAAGCGGCTTCGGCCTTTGTCGACCTTCCAGTGAATCTCTTGATATTTGAACACGAAAGAAAAAACAAGAAGCCGTCGAGGAGAGTGGGCTGCTTCGATATCAAGGCCTGAGATGAGCTAGGAGCTGTGGATGCTGTGATCCTTCTCTCTGACATGCTCTGGAGAGCTTCGATTCGCACACTTCTCCACTAGACGCTGCAACGTCAACAGGCAGGTCTTGGGCTCTCCAAGTAAGTTCCCCCCCATATTAGCTGGTTGGGCATCTCAGTAGCACAGCTCTATGTTGTTGGTGTCATGGACCCTTTTCTTGCCTGCCTGGAAAGTCCAAAAGCATCAGCTGTCATTTTGAAGGCTCATGCTCTGACGCAATACTAACCGGTGCGCCTCTAGATACAATACCCACGCCCACCACCGAACCGCCGAATTTGATATGAGCAGAAATGCGCCTTCTCACCCGCGCTACAGTATGACGCAGGAGGTAGAGAGAACTCCTGGCTCGAGCCAGAGCAAGACGGTCCGAGTGTCTTTCGAGGCTACCGCCGACCCGCAAGCTTCCAATCTGGGCATCCAACCGTCTACGTCTAGCAACGGAGGTCACCATAGATCAGCCACCAGTGGCGCCGTCCAGTTCCCTAGTAGTTCGAGGTCAATTGATGACGCTGGACAAGACTCACATTCCTCTGCGAACGAGTCGAGGCCGCGCTCGAGGCCTAATATCAACGGCAACAGGCGGAAGCCTGCTCTGATTCGGGCAAAAAGTGAACATTGGCATGACCTTGGTCCTGATGTCAGGGCTTTAGGAGGTGAGGAAGAAGATGTTCAGCTCCGCCATGGCTGGCAGGAGGAATACACCTCCAGTGAATACTTGAAGGTCTTGAACTCTGTGAGTTTGAGTCCCAGCCTTTTTTGTAGTTCCTTGTGCTGACAATGGCTGCTCTGCAGAACTTTTACATGTATTTTACTGAAAAGCGACATGATACCAATGGCATCCCGAAACAACCGGACGAAGTCTGGAGAAGCCAGGATTGGCGCATGAGAGATAGACTGAAGACTGTCTCCGCTGCACTTGCTATCTGCCTCAACATCGGAGTAGATCCACCAGATGTAGTCAAAACAAACCCCTCAGCGAAACTCGAATGCTGGGTAGATCCAACTTCCACGACCGGAGCGCAGAATAAGGTTATGGAACAGATTGGAAAGAAGCTACAGGAACAGTACGAAACACTCAGTCTGCGCACACGATACAAGCAGTACTTGGACCCCTCGGTGGAGGAAACGAAGAAATTTTGTATTTCCCTCCGACGAAATGCAAAGGATGAAAGGGTTCTCTTTCATTACAACGGTCACGGAGTCCCGCTGCCCACACCTTCTGGCGAAATCTGGGTATTCAACAAGAACTACACTCAATATATCCCTGTCTCCCTTTACGACCTGCAGACATGGCTTGCTGGTCCCAGCTTGTTTGTATTCGATGTTTCTCATGCGGGTAACATTGTTCAAAACTTCCATGCCTTTCTCGAAAAGCATGAGAAGGAAAATGCGGAAGCTCGCAAGAGAGATCCTATTGCATCCCTCCAAAATTACGGCGATTGCATTCTCCTTGCTGCTTGTGAGAAAAACGAAACCTTGCCAACAAACCCTGACCTCCCTGCAGATCTCTTCACCTGTTGTCTTACCACCCCTATCGAGATAGCCTTGAGGTACTTTGTGCTTCAAAATCCACTGCAAACAAGTCTTTGTGTGGATGAATTTAGGGTTCCGGGACGCCTACAGGATAGAAGAAGTCCGCTGGGTGAACTTAATTGGATATTCACGGCAATTACAGATACCATTGCTTGGAACACCCTTCCTCGCCCCCTATTCAAGAAGCTCTTCCGACAAGACCTCATGGTTGCTGCTTTGTTTCGGAATTTCCTACTCAGCGAACGTATCATGAGAACTCACGAATGTCATCCAATTTCTTCACCGAAACTGCCCATTACACATACTCACCCGTTGTGGCAAAGCTGGGATTTGGCTGTTGAAATGGTCCTGGCTCAACTTCCGGCTCTCATTGAACAAGAAGAAGGCACCAGACACTACGAATACCAGCATTCCCCATTCTTTGCTGAGCAACTTACGGCTTTTGAGGTGTACCTCTCTTCCGGGCCTACAGAAAAGAACCCACCAGATCAACTCCCTATTGTCCTCCAGGTTTTGCTCAGTCAAGCTCACCGGTTAAGGGCATTGATTCTCTTGAGTGGGTTCCTTGACCTCGGCCCGTGGGCTGTTCACCTCGCTCTTAGCATCGGTATATTCCCTTATGTTGTCAAACTACTCCAAAGTGCTGCCCAGGAGCTTAAGCCTGTCATGGTCTTCATCTGGGCCAGGATAATGGCAGTTGATCATACAGTACAGAATGATCTCCTCAAAGACAATGGCATCCACTACTTTATTACCATACTCCATCCTAATTCTCCCATACCCGTTGCAAATGTCAGCGATCACAGGGCCATGTGTGCGTTTATTGTTGCTATCTTCTGCAAGCAGTACCCTCAGGGACAGCATGTTTGTTTGTCCCCGGAACTAATTGAGGCATGTTTGACTCACCTATTGGATACTGAAAACCCCTTACTACGGCAATGGTCATGTTTATGCCTCAGTATGCTGTGGAATGACTTCCCGGAGGCAAAGTGGATGGGTATTCGTGCTTCTGCGCCACCCAAGCTCTGCGAACTTGCAGCCGACCCTGTTCCAGAAGTTAGAGCAGCAATGCTCCATGCCCTCACCAGCTTCATTGGCATCCCAGACCTTACCGATCAAGTAGCCCAGATCGAAGAGTATCTCGCTATGGCAGTACTCCCAATGGGCTCTGATGGTAGCGTTCTTGTGCGAAAGGAATTCCTGGTTTTCGTATCAACTTTTGTCAAAAGATATCAAAATAAATTCATAGTTGCAGCATATGAGCAGCTATTGGAAGAGAAGCAGGTCCTAACAACTCAACCCACCGGATCCCCGCTAATGTCCCCTCCTCAACCATCTGAGAATGGTGTTTCTCAAGGCACTGTGATCGGTTCAATTTGGAAGCTGGTTCTTATCTTATCTGTCGATCCGCATCCAGACGTCGCGCAGGATGGCGGCATTATCGTTGACTATGTCCACAAAACTCTTCTAGAATCACCGCTCGGTGGTTTGGCTAGGAAAGCAAGGGAGGACATTCTGGAATTATATACCCGCGCTCAATCAAAGAAAACACAACAACAGGAGTCCATTGATAACGCTAGACCCAAGACCCCTCCGAGCCAACAAGCACCCAAGCCAGAAGGATATCTCTCCCTAAGCTTAAGAAGGACAGCTAGTGTCGCTGCATCCCTTAAAAATATGGCCTTTGGCTCTTCATCAAATAGTCCTCAGCCTCCAGGCTCCCCCAACTCCACTACGTTTGCTAAACCCCAAGTGCCGAAGGGCCGTGTTACAGTTACGCCTAGGGGTCGCGCACCTGCTGAGTGGACTCGGCCTCCAGAGGTCAATGACCAGCGTGCCTCCGCTAGATCATACCAACAAGCACCTACCCCATCTTCTAGAGGATTTAAACTTAGAGATGTGAAAGAAGAACCTGTTATTCCATTGGTTAGTCAGTTCTTAGATTGGTCAACAGAGGTATGCATTACTATGAATCACCTGAGTCATTTATGAACTACTAACTAACATCCTCATTACAGTATTTCCGAGAACCCCAAATGAAACCTAATGAACCGGATGAGCCCGGTAGTTCAGACTATAACGAACGCCTCTGGCGACGAGGCAGGAATGAAAGAATCATTGTTGAAACGCAGCCAATGAAGACTCGAGCTGGTAGTTCTCGCTGGGATAACTCGGTTTCTCTCATAAACAACTCCACTCAGCCAATGAAGATGTGTTTCCACCAATTCGAAGACCATCTTGCAGTGGCTGACGATAGGGACACAATATGGTAAGCTTGTTTGCTGTTTCCCTATGTATCAATCATAATCGCTAACCGATGTAGTATCTGGGATTGGCAATCAAATACATATCTCAACCGATTCTCGAATGGCAACCCTCTAGGGTCAAAAATTAATGAAGTCCGTTTCATTAACGAAGATGACCAAGCTCTTTTAATGACAGGCTCCTCTGACGGCGTATTAAAACTATTCCGCAGCTACGAATCGAGTAAAAATGTCAAGGTTCTCACAGCGTTCCGCGCTTTGCCTGAGTTGATACCCAGTAATAAAAATGCCGGACTCGTCCTTGAGTGGCAACAAGGTCAAGGCAAAGCGCTAGTAGCGGGGGATGTGAAGGTTATCCGAGTATGGAATGCGGCCACCGAAGTTTGCACAACAGTACGGTTATACCCTCCAACCTATTGTCCATGTCATAACTAACAGTCAAATCCAGGATATATCTGCTCGCTCCGGATCATGCATTACGTCCCTGACCTCCGACCAAGTAGCGGGTAACATCTTCGTTGCAGGATTTGGCGATGGTGCAGTTCGTGTTTTCGACCAGCGCCTGAAACCAACCACGGCAATGGTTAAGGTCTGGAGAGAACACAAACAGTGGATTACCAACGTACACATGCAACGAGGCGGAGTCAGAGAATTGGTCTCCGGTAGCCGCAATGGTGAAGTCCGACTCTGGGATCTAAGAATGGATCACTCGATCGAATCAACGCAGGCAACCAAAGACACCCTGCGTACCCTAGGTGTTCATGAACACGCCCCGGTTTTCACCATGTATGTCTGCCCCTATCTCATCAACCCCTTTGGAGCTAAACTAACATGTTGCTTGTTAGCGGAACCAATCGCCGTGAAGTCAAGACATTCAATGTTGACGGCACTCATCTATCTACCTTCGAACCTCATAGCAGCTTTTTGCACCATACCCGATCCTCCCCAGTCGTCAGCACTGTATTCCATCCTCATAAAATGCTCCTGGCTTGCTCGACTCTAAATGACAACCACATCAACCTCATATCATGCTAATGGGACCTTCTCATTCTTCCGCGCACCAATAAATAGAAACTTCACACATATCCATTTTATTTACTTTTCTACAACCTCTTTACGCCGTCGATAGGATTTCTTCTGTTCTATTCTCTGGATACGCAGCCTTTATTTTCAACATATTATTTTGAACCTTTTTACACCTTCTGAGTTTTTCCCAACCTGCATCTTTACAACTTGCCCTTTCTTGGTTTTCTCCTTTTGCTTTTCTTTAATACGATGAATGGCTCACGAGCATGGATTCTCTTAGTGGAAAGAGGCTAGGAGTTGGAACATTTTTCAGGATAATGGGTTTATCGCCCCTTTTATCTCTGCGTTCTTTCTCAATAGTTATATTACTCCTTTTTTCTATCGTACCTTTACCCCCAAGTATGAGCCCGTGATACCAGGCCACTGGTTAGGGATACTCGCTGTATTCTTCGAATCCATTTTAAATGTAATTATTTAAACGGAAAATGACTATCATTCCATGTAGTAATTTAACTACTAATTTTTGAAATTAGATGCTTCCTTACGAGTGCAGACTTAAAGACCGTTCTCAATTCTGTTCCATTCCAAGGGCAGCAGCATATGCATATTGGAGTGAGAAACCAAATATCTGGCAAGTTGTCATGTTGCCATCTTGATCTCTCTCTCTCTCTCTCTCTTTTAATATCACATTTCAGGTACTTGCGCGGAAGAAAGAAAGCAGAAAAATGGAAGGGGAAATTCCTGTATGCTTCTTAGTTCCTCGTCTCTGACCCTCTAAACGGGCCCGGCTGGATGTCAAAAAGGCTGAAGTTTCCGTCCTTAGAGGGTTCGCAGCATTCATCGGGGGCTGGTCCATATTGAGCGAAGTTTCTGGACTGCTCTTTTGGGTTTCCTTCAAGGTAAGATTGAAGATTAACGATAGCCTGGGCAAGCAAAACCGTGTTTTGCTCAGCTGACTCATATAGCTCTTTGGGAATCGCAACAGGTTCCTGTCCATTATCGCGGGTTTGCAAGTTTTCCTTGATTATGGTATCCAAACGTTCGCGGAGGCCCTCGTTCCAACGGTAGTCAGCACGATACCATTTGAGAGTTTCACTGACACGAGAATTTCGTTCCTTGGCTAGTAGAATAGAGCGGCGTTTGCTACCGATAGGGCTTTGTTGTAGGGTGTTTGCGGGTGGTAGAACAGGAGGTTGCTTGCCAGCTTCCGAGGTGGTAGCAGTCTCCGCCTTCTTAGCCTTCCTTTCAGCCTCTTCAGGTGTATCCACAGTCCATGGAACGGGACGGTATATCCCCACAGGGTCACCAGCGTAGTTGGTAAAACGAGGACGAGTTAAGCCGGGAGGCGGGAAACTCCGGCGGATACCTGGTTGCTGCGTGGCAGTGTTATTCCTTCCTTCGCTTGGACATGGAGTAGCTGATAGATTTACTTTGGTAGAAGTAGGCGATGGAGCCCGAGACCCAGCCGCGACTTGTGGAGACGCTTCCCTTTCTTGAGCCATAGCGGCTTCACGTTCCTGGCGAAACATTGCAAGACGTGTAATAGCTAAACCTCGAATATTATATCGTGCTGCTAAGGCGGTTCCTCGCTCGAGGTCGTTGGAATAATTTTGAGAGGAAGGGCTGGGTAAAGAACGTTGTGGAAGTTGGTGGTCGTGGGGACTTAAAGATGCCGTCATAGACTTCTCAGGAGCCAAACTTTGAGGAGCCAGCTTAGGTGCTACCAACTCTCCCTCTCCGGCAGTCACATTCCGAACAGGAGCTGACTCTGGCTTTGGCCTAGAGGGAGCGCCGATAAGGTCGAGGTAATGATCGGCTTGGTTAATGGTGAGTCTCGAAAAGTCGATATCAAGTGCGTTGGCGATTGATGTATCTCCCAAGCGTTCCATCATCGTCTTCTGAGCGTGGAGTTTTTCCTCCTGTTTTGAAGGACTGATGTTATCAGGCCCCGGGATGAACGGGCCCGTTGGGGTTGTAGGTCTCGTCTTAGAGGTAGGAGTGGCCACCGAAGTCGCAGGAGCTGATAACGTTGCATTTTTTGTGTGCCTTGCGAAATTAACCTGTGGAATTGAACGTGGCATAGATGGAGGAGCAAATGCTGGAGGTGTGTAATGTGAAGAACCTGGATCGACTGAAAAGCTATGTTGTCCAATGTGACGAGCACGGTGAGGGCTGTGGAGATGAGGATTGAAGTGAGCAGGAAGTTCCACCGCGTGTCCATGATTCCCCCCTGTCTCCATTGCAGCCATATTCTGCAGCGGATGAGCTGTCAGCGCTGGGTTGATCGCAGTAACCACCCTAGAATTCGACCTCGTTCCCGGAATCCCATGGTTGTGGTAATAATACTCCATCTCTGTAGTATTCTCAACTCCGAAACTGGCACTCCCCTGTGTGGTTGTAAGGTTTGGCTTGGTCGTGAGGGCAGCTAATGTTGCAAGTGAGCTGGGGCGCGTGGACGTCAGGTGGCCGGTCTCTCGAAGCTCGCGGCTGATACGACTTGAATGTTGGTATGCTGGCTGACTCCGTTCTCGCCCTTGGGAACGAAGACGGAAAGATGGCGCACCTCGGTAAAATGGCCGACCGCGTTCTTGTTGGGGGTAGTGAGAGAAGCCTTCAGGTGATGTAGCCGCACCAGCAGCAAAGCTCTCTGCTTGCGCTGTGGGTTGGGAGTGAACATAGGAGTTGTTAGTAGCAGGGTTAGCAAGTGCAAGGCGTGAAGCTGCATCATAAGTAATTGGTGGCTGGGGTCTGAAAGTATTCTCCATGTAAGAATAATGGTGAGTGTGAGTATGAGTAACCAAAGGATCAGCGCCCAGTTTATCCCTAATCACAGAAGCATACTTAGCAGCTTCCCCAGGATATCCAGCCAATCTACCATAAGATCCAGTATACTGAGGCGGGGGCCCTTGTAGTTGGGTTGGCCTTGAGTTAAAGGTTTCTACCTCCTCTGGCATATCATATGGAAAAGGAGGGAAAGGGATCGTGTTTGCGCCCTCAGGTTCCCTATTCCCTGAAGACTGGCCAAGTCTATGCGGATTCATGGCTGCCCTTCTATCTTTTTCACCTTAGTGCCGGTAATTGCCGGCAAATGTAAGTTAAAGTCTGGGGTAATATCCGTCTCTCTCTGTATCACAGCTAGCCTAGATATTTAGATTTAGTGTTAGTATCAGCATGAATATTCGTCTCTTCTTGTGCCTAACTCTGCCTTAATCTTAAAGCAAGACTGACTCCAGCCCAAATTATCGAGAATAGTAAAGGGGGACACTCGGTGATACTCACAGTGTCTTCTTTTATAGCTATTAGTAGTCTGATAGAAGGGCCCGGCGTGAATATCAGGGAGATGTCCAGATGTCCAGTCAAGGAGTGAAGTTGACAAAGGGCATAACAGGGGAGGAAGAAGAAAGTGAAGCAGAAGAGAAAACAAGAAGAGGACAGCTGAGTGCACGGGCCATCATCATCTTCTTCTTCTCTTTTCCCAAAATAGAAAGAAGGGACATCCTAGTCACGTGTCTGGGGAAGATGAAGATAAGAAGAAGATGGGACCAAGAAAGCAGTAAAGAAGCAGCCTGCAGATGAAAGAAAGATAGGAGATACAGAGATAAATCCAGGCGTATACAGGACAGGGTATTGAACGGTATAGACTGCCATCCCGTCTTGATGCTATGCCAATAGCAGCCATAAGCTATAGCAGCCATAAGAAGCTATAGATCTATAGAAGGCACTTGCCGTAATCCAACCTCAAGAAAGGGTATTCTAAAGGGAATATATTGTATGTGCTAAACACACTACTATGTAGGATATAATAGTTTGAATACAATACAAACTATGGTTCAGGAGTCTCCGGGTATCTTTATTTTTAATCATTCCCTTCTAGCTCTGCAGGAGTCGGAAGTCAAATCTAGACTATAATAGCGCCAGCCCTATATGGATTGATTAAACACGGTACTTTTCGTCTGATGATGGGTTCTTCTCCTCTCAACTTCAAATCAATATCAATTTCTTTTGTCAAAAGCTGCGATGCGAGGTTGAAATAAGGCTAAGATTAATCCACATGACGGTCACGTGATGGAGATCCCGCCCGAGCGGATAGGCTCCGAGAGACAGATGGCTAACCTCTTCAAGACATATAAGCCCTGATATTCATAAAATCTGTGGTTACTTCAGTTACTAGGTGCAAGTATTTATGTAGCTTCCCAATAAATTAGTAAAGAGGTTATCCTGTGGGGTGTTGTAGGTCTACCACCTTTCAGGATAGTGACCGCCTTGGAATGCATGGTAGATCTATGTTTATATCGGAGTAAGTCGCCTGCTTTGAGAAACCGCTTGCAATAACCCTTAATGAGAAATTTCTGTCTATTTTGGAAACCCAATCCACTCCCACATTACCTTTAATGTGTTGTCGCCCACCCTGCTACTCGTCACATAGGTAATCGTATTATCCCAGAGACCTAAATATTATGAACCTGGGGTAGTTCCTGGGCGGATCAAGTTGCTCGCCCATCTCCCCTGATTGTGGAAATCGCTAATATCTCGTTGGAGGCAAATATGTTATGATATCTACCCTGACGTAGACAGCAGCCTAATGACAACAGAGGCGAAAAGGCAAAACTGTGTTAGCATCGCCAGTGTCAAGAAGCTCACACCTAATAGCAGTAACAGCAACCAATTCCTGTGATTGTAATATCATTGTTTGGTCTGGGCACGGGAACAGGACGTAAACTTTGAAGTTCAGGCATAGCAACCTACTGGGCAAGTATCGACGCGTCCGATGGATACCAGAGCTGAAATATATCGAGCAGTCCGTACCAAATGAGGGTCAACAGAGCTGAGACCTCAGGAAACAGCTCTTTCGCTGTCCGGAGGCGTACGTACCACATGTGATAGTGCAAACCTTGAGAGTCGAAAGTTGACATCCATTCCACATTACCGTCCCTAGAGACAGTCAAAAAAGGCATTATGGGGAGCTAAACAATGCCGAAGATGGTCAACGCAGTGCTAAACCCTAGTTTGACCGGTACCTGAGCTTGAACGCTAACTAGTTATTTAGTTAGTTAAGCGAGTTGGAAATTTTGACTCTTTTTCCCTGCGCCTCGAGTGTTACGAAGCTGCTGACGATGATTGATTGGAAGCTAATTAAAGCCCTCTCAGCTTGCCGTGTGGACGGGAGGTACCCATATGCGAGATTTGATGGATTGCGGGCCTGCTCTCGCATAAACAATCACCAGTATTGTCGTTGTCGTCTTATTAGGGCCACTTGAAAGCTGGCCTTCTTGTCCTTGTCCTGGGTTGGTTTTTATTGTGGCTGGCAGCTTTCATTTGTGTTTCCGCCTCTTCTACGCCACGATTGTGTCATCAAACATGCGTATTACCAGGGTCACGGGATATTAACTAGGAGAGGCACACCTCTGCTTCAAAAGAGCAAAGAAAAGGGCAGCCTCCGGAAACTTAACAGGGGTCAAATCTGATTCCTGCATTACCTAGCTCGCAGCAAAAGAGGACGCACCAATCACCCTTTACAAATATTTGTTTTTGCGGTTCGTCTCTGCCATGATTCGTAGTGGCCCCTGTAAAGTTCGACTTCCACTACTCAGCTTCGCCAACAACAACAATGATGGTCCTCGACCTAGCCATTTTCCCTGCCGCGGGGCTTTTGGGCTCTGGTTCAACTGGCCTGATACGTAGCCTGCAGCCGGACTAACTGACAACAGAGAGTCAGACCAGTTTCGCACGGAGGCCCCTGCCAGCCGTGATCATCTGCTAACAGTCACGCCGTAGCTTGTTACCCGTTACTCTGTATTAGACAAGCATCGTTAGCCCCCGGGTAGCACGGAGTGGTATTGTAAAGGGGATTTAGCCAAACCAATGTACGGAGTAGTTGTGTATTCCGTATCAATATCACGGTATAAACGCCCACACTTCACCGCCTCGATTTGTGTCATCATTCAACAAGGTGCCGCTGCCGTTGCTGGCCTGAATGTGTTTCATCCTCGCCTGCATGTGTAAGAGAACCATGGCCTCCCAATTGCGTCGTCGCCTGCATCTCATCGACTCCTTGCGCTCCTCTTTTTCCCTCTGCTCGTTAGTTCAAAACACAGAAAAAGAAACTGGAAAGCGATAAAGCTTAACGTTTGTCATGTGACTGCCAAGGCTCTCATGACGATTTGCTTCGATGCACTCTTGCTGCATTTCTTATTCTCGTCGTCTGCTTTTTTTGCTCTCTCATGGCCCGCCATCTATCCCGACGTCACGACGAACTGTCGAGAAGCCTGATATCATTGCCGTGGGCTGTTTCGCCATTTCACGAGTGGCCAGCTTGGCCTCGAGGTGAAGCCAGGTTCTCATCCTCTTGTTTTTTGAGCTGTCTGCCCCCTTAGTTATCAGACCACAAAGGTCACCCGCACCACCACTGCCACCACCACGACCACCATTACCACTATTACGAAGTGACAGCTCTCCTTTATAAAGGCGTCTGTAAGGAGTCTGGAATAATGCGACCTCCACAGCTCATCCTACTCCTTGTCTGTCTGGTGTTTATTCCTCTCTTCTTTACCACCCTTGTCCGGCAGTCTGCAAGTCCAGAAAATGCCGCCACATCGGAATATCGACGAAGCTACAGCAGCAAAGCCGGCCGCTTACGAGACCTCTTCTTCCATGCACCCTCATCGCTATTCCCACCTTCCGCGCTTATAAGTTTGACAGATGATAACTCGACTTTCTTCTTGGCTCGTCCTGCTGCGTTTGGACCTCCCCTGCCATCGTCCGGCCTCGATGGGCAGCTGTGGATCGGGAGCGGCTTTGGAGACGATGTTAGTAAAAAGGGGGGGATAACGACAAAAGCTGAAGGGGAACTAGGGTGCTCTGATGTTCCCGGGTGGCAAGAAGGTGATAGAACTGCGCAGTCCGGGTCCGGAGGGCGTCTTGGTACGGATAAAGCAACATCACAGGCCAAACCAGGCATAGGAGTCAGCAACGACCCAACTATAAATATACAGAAGGGAGCCAGCACCGTTTTACCCGAAGATGACCGCAAGAATAGTGGCTCACCAACAAAAAACGACGGCACCGATGACCATCTTCATCATTCCTTGGGAGATTCCCTATCAGCCAGCCTTAATGATGCCAAGGCAAAAAACAAGCAACCAACCCATGCCGACATCCAGTCATTACAGGAGACTGCGGAGATTTCAGGGAAAGTTGTTCTACTAAGCCGTGGTGGTTGTGGCTTTTTGGAGAAGACAAAATGGGTCCAGCGGAGAGGAGGAATAGCCCTTATAGTTGGCGATAATGAAAGCGGTGGAGGCCTTGTTACAATGTATGCGCATGGCGATACATCAAATGTGACTATTCCGGCAGTTTTCACCTCACACACCACTGCACATCTCCTGTCCTCACTTATACCCGCCGATAAAGGCAAAGGACCCAGCTCTCCAGGGAACAAATCAAAAGCACCCAATAGTGGTAAACAGAATACAAAGACCAGTGGTACTTCTGGGAAAACTAATATTGTTGCCCCTTCCTCGAAGTCTACAAAATCCACGCAATCCAAGCCTAAAGATACACCAAAACCCGATAGAGGATTCTTTTCGTCTCTTTTCAACTTTTGGAACGACAAATCGGTACATGAAGACAGTAGGCGACCACCAAGCAGTGGGAACATCGACTGGATTTCACAAAGCCGAAAGCCGGATCCTGAGAGGCCATTTAGGTCAGGACAGGACTCAAACCGTCAGGACAAAGAGAAAGGAACGGCGCCTGTGCAGGCCAAACCGGATCCCCATCAGAATCGTGAAGATGACTTCCTTATCGGAGTCCAGGACTGGCGTGATCCTGACCTTATCGTTAAACCCACAACAACGCCGGTCAGCAAGCCACAACCAACTAGTCAGAGTGGTAATTCAAACAGCAAGGACGGTTCGGGCTCCGATACAAAAGGCTTCAAGGGTGGGAGCATTACCCCCGGCAGCGGAGAGTATGCTCATCCAGACAAATCTACCGAGGGCAAAGGTGGCACGAATGGCTCTCATAAGCAATCATCACATTTGAGATCAGGGCCCGGAAATAATGGAAAGAAAGGGCACTGGTGGATGCGCCTCTTTGGCTGGGGAGAACCGAGTGATGACAAGAACATAGCATTCGCAAACGGACACAAAGATTTTCATAATGGTCGAGGCTCACATAACAACCATGGCCATCATGGGGACAAGGAGCCAGAGAAACATGAAGGCTTATGGGTTACCTTAGCCCCAACTAGCATGTCTACCAGTCCATTCTTTGATACTCTTTTGGTGTTGGTCGTCAGCCCCCTAATAACGCTCACCGTCGTTTACGCACTCCTCCTACTTCGCTCTAGGATCCGTCGGCGACGATGGAGAGCACCCAAGGCCATCGTTGATCAACTTCCCGTTCGAACCTACCATACAATTACCAGTGGCTCTAATTCAAGCACACCGCCTCGTACAGCAGTGCCGGACTCTGCGTCTCCTTCATCTCCTCTCCTTGCACGATCGGACTCTCGAGCTCATTTCTCCACCAATGCAGGTGCCGCAGCGTCAAGTTCTTTGCCCAACATGACAGACTTTTCAGCTGGCGCTGAGAAGTCCAGCGCCGGATCGACACTGTGGCGACGGAAATACACTGGCCGACAAGTGGAATGTGTGGTGTGTCTTGAAGAGTATGTTGACGGACAAAGCAAGGTAATGAGCTTACCTTGTGGGCACGAGTTCCACGCCGAGTGCATGTAAGTGCTCCCTTTTCTCTCCAAATAATTCTCCCCGATATGTGTATTTCGTCGAGAACCCAGCTAACAAAGCCCCTTTAGAACACCGTGGTTGACAACGCGGCGACGCACGTGCCCGATATGTAAAGGCGATGTTGTTCGATCGTTCGGAAATCAAGGCTCCAACGACTATGTTTCCAGCAGCCTGGACCCTTCACCCAGCTTTGATCAAGCAAGGGCTGTTGAAGATCACAGTGGATTCCCTTCATCCGCCATCCCTATCCCCGAGCATGAAAACGCCGACTCTGAGTTGGAACGGGGTGCCTTGCTTGGAGACGCCCTCAACGCATCTCACCGGTCCACCTGGAGAGGGCTTACGTCCTTGAGCCTATCTGCCTTAAGCGGCGATTCAATGTGGCACCAAGTTCGACACACCCGAACTCAACGGAACCGCTGATCTGACCCACCTTCCCCCCCTGGCTCATTCCCGTCTTTTAGGATACAACAGCTTTCTTCTCACCTCAATTCCTAATTTTTTTTTTTCGCTTTCCTTTGTATATCATATGCCTCCACTTATACCCCATCGAGCTATCATTGAATTGTTTTTCTGTCCTATGATTTCACTCTCTTCATCCCATCTCGATTTCCCTTTTCAACTTAGCCTACTTCTGCCCCTTCTTGCATCGATTGGTTTTTTATGAGTTCTTGGAGGCCAACGAGAACTTTGGGCGTTTTGAGAGCAAATTGAAACTGAAATATAAACAGCAGGACTGCTTTCCCTTGACAGGGCAATCCTAACGAAGAGGTGGAAGTGAAAAGGCATCATGGTAACCAAAGCAAAGACGGCCTTTGGTACATGCCCATCCCTATCCCCAGATAAATACTAGTATATGAATGTCTACTCTGTTCTTCCTACGAGAGCCATCACGCTCCTCATCCTCTCGATCTGGCCTGGGACTTCCATCTGATATCAAAACATTGCTTATATAATATACATATCACGTGACCAATGATGTCGTCATAGCTAAGTTCGAACCCCAAACTTGGAAGAAACAAGCAACTTGTAACAACATGCTATAACTGCGCCATCTACGCCATCAAGCGCCAGATCAACATCCACGCTCTCGTCTCGTTTAATTGCCGGCTAATCACTATATCGCAGCATCATGGAGCGAATAAAGCGGATGGCGCAAGAGGAACTGCGCAATTTCCTGGCGCTGGCTAAAGATGGCTTGCGGTCTGGCGCATACATCTACCCGTTCCAGGTAGATCATACCATACATACAATCTCGTCCCATATGAAGAAAAGCAAACTAACACAGTTGAACCACTTGAAACAAAATACAGGGCATTGCCTACTTCCTATCTCACCCGTCACTATACAAGCCTATGTTATCAAAGCTCGCACCAACGTTATCACTGACCCTCGCTGTGACTGGAGCCATGTTCTTTTTCACATATATACCCCAAGCAGCCATTCTGGCTCTAACATCGGGCCCTCTCATAGCACCATTCTCAGCAGCTCTGCTCGTCCTCAGTGAGAGTTCAACCATAATATCCTATCTCGCTAAATCAGGCTACGTGTTCGACCAAGACACCCTGCTTAACCTGTTCGATGGAACACTACTTTCATGCGGCAACACACAGTTGGTGTCCAAGGACCGTAAACTGAAATCTGCTTCTGATCCAATGGCTCGCCTGGGGCATTTTATTAAGAAAGGAGGCGGTTCGCTGATGAACGCGATGAGCTTGTCAAATATGTTTAGATCGCTGCTGTATTTGCCGCTGAATTTCATACCGGTTGTGGGGACATTGATGTATATCGGTGCCCAGGGAACTAGGATTGGACCTATGTTACATGCTAGATACTTTTATCTGAAGGGATGGGGTGCGATGGAACATGACCAGTGGCTTGAGAGGAACAGAGGTGCTTATGCCAGGTGAGTAACGCAGCATCCAACTACCCCCTAAAAGGCATCCTTGCTCAGAATAAAAAATAGTTTTGGTGCCGCTGCCTTTGTGCTGGAGATGGTACCCTTCGCATCTCTCTTTTTCACGTATACGAACACAGTTGGAGCTGCTCTATGGGCCGCGAGGCTGGAGAAGACCTTTGCAACCAACCCCGGCCTCCGTGGGGCCACTGAAATGAAAGCTATGTGATAGTGATTCTGATTTTGTAAATATCGACGAATAGCCGGAAATATTTGGGAGATCTACTGGGGATATTATTTGGTGTTCACCAAAAGCTGCATAGCAACTTGACCCAGGCCTAGTTGGTTTCGGTTGTTTGTCACGATTGTCATCATATTTATTATCCTGCTATCCGCATGAATGGAATAGCCGCCAAAAGCGGAAAAAAAAAATCAATGATTAGAGTACACACAAGAGTAACAGACCTAAGTCCCCAGGAACGGGGGAAAGCAACAGCTCCCAATAATGTATAAATACGATGTAATAATAAGCTACGTTCAAGCTTCCACACAAACGCAAGTTCCCCATACTCCAACGCAAAAAAATAGTTGATAACTGATATACCCAAGCGTCTTTCCTTTTCAACGTAAGGCGTTCTCTTCGACATATTGCCTAAAGGGCAACGAAGTAACCGTTAGGGGGCTTTGTCGGCATCACTGGGGTTTTCCGGATGCCTTATCCTCAGTGTCACAGTGACCTGAAACGCAATTTCCAACACCTGTGATATACATAAGAAAGTAGAATTAGTAGATGCAGTAGAACTCTTTTTGTGACAAAGTGCAACGTACCGCACCATGGCTTCCCATAGCCACACCATCCGCTAGTGCTGCAGCAGACTCCAAATGGTGAGCCAACACAGCTGATATACTCGTTGCAAGACCCATCTTTGCTGATCATAGTGGAGTTCGATGGGAGAGGGTATTTGCCGCTAGGCAGTGGGAGTTTTGCTTTCTTGCGATCATCGTCATCACCCGCCGGGATGTCTTTGGGTGGCTCTTCAATATGCGGCTCTTCTGGCGGCTCATCGTCGTGAACCGTTTGGCCTTGGGCGTCAGGGGCGTCGGGGGCGGCGGTGGCTTCGGGCCCACAAGGCACACATCGTCCCTCGTTGTTGCACTGTCGCGTGAGCTGGTTTAGTAAAAAGTACTCCGTAAAACTCACGCTTCTTAACTAATGGGATGATCTTACACATCTATTTCCGATTAGGTTGCTGCATTAGTGGTCTGACTAGCAATAGCTTATCCCAAAGGTTGGGCTCCACAACTTACGATCCAAATGGCGATCCATCGCAAGTCGCGCCAGCATTATTCTCTCCACAGCTGCCATCTACTGTCATCGGGCTTGGGGAGACAGGGGCTACGCATATAGCAAAATTGGCCCACAGATTCTCGCAGTTAGGGTGAAGCTACATATATTGCAGTTAGCCGGTGGTATAGTTCCGGGCCAGATCAAAATTGGTAGGTAGACAATCCAAGCGTTTGGAGCGTACCTCGGGGTTGTATGTCAACAATTCATCCATAGTCACCTCACTATGCAGGGGTCAATGGCTACTTCTTGTGTTTGATAAAGAGGTACTGAAGACCTTACAATTCTCTGGATATGGAGGCACACTGTGGAGTATATTTTGTCAGAAAGTACTTAAAAAGACAGGGATAGGCAATACATACAGTGTCACCCGCAACTACGTTGTAGTATTTACCACAAGGCGCCATTGCACCTAGCTGCGGTGTCCGGTCCGGGGTTGCTTAGGAAAGGTTAGCAAGTTTTGGACATTTCACTATTTTAAGCCGAGCACAAGGCACTTACCGGGAGTGTAGAATGTCTTCATGGCCCTGGGAGCAGCAGTGCGTTTAGCAATTGGCTCTTCAGTAGTAATTGTTGGTGCTGGAGGCGAAGCATATCTAAACACGGTCGATCCATCGGTATGGTAGCCTGTGGCTGGTGGAAGGGTGTCTTTAGCCCCCAATACCACGGTTGGTGCTGGTGTTATCAGGGGTAGCTTCGTCGAACAGGCAGCCTCTAGCTTGCTGAACTGCTTGGTGAAATGGTCTAGGAGATTGCCCTGGGGGAAGACGGGAGACTCAATCCTCTGCCTCCAGAGAAGCATAAAGCACTCGCTGCAGTACTATATACGCAAATCAGCACACGAAGAGGGAGTTGGTATAGAGCAAGGCGAAGAAATACCAGTTCTTTATCGTACGAATTGGTCACGTATAGGGTGTCCACGTCCTCCTCAGAGCCCTTTTTATCACAATCAGCTGGCGGATTTTCACCGCTACAAGCATCCGGCTGCTTCTTGTCCCAGCTAGAAACCGGTCAGCTTAGAGAAAGGATCGATTATAGAGGGAATAGTCACCTTGTAAACACACCGCTGTCCCAGTCCTGCGCTTCGTAGAAACACCAGTTGTCGTTGCTAATTTTCAATTAGCATATCACTCGGCTGTAAGTAAGGGATAACCAGCAGAACCGCACCTATCTCGCAGACAGGCCAAGTCATAGCCCGATATATATTTCATAGGAAACGCCTTTGGATCGACGACGAGGCCGTTGATGGTCACTTCTTCGTCTTCACACTTCTGCTCGACGGCATCGAGCCAGGTGGACAGGGACTTTGAGCAGCCATCAGTACATAGAGTCGTCAGGTCATCCATAGACCAGGCTACTACAGGCAATAGAGTCAGTTTATGCTGACACAATGATGCAAAGCAAAGTACCAACGTACGGTCGTTGTCTGAATTTTTGGTGGCTCTAACAGCACTGGGGCCATCACACTCGACGGTGTAGTTTCTATAGGATAAATGAGCAATGGAACAATCAGTGAGGATTTAAGGGGGGGTATATCTATATATTACAGAGCCGAAAGACACTCTGAGGTCACACCAAGCGATGCTTTGAGTGCATCCGGATCATGGAGTGCATAGACACTGAAGGCTGCAATGGCGGGAGAGGCCAGCGCCAGGATGCCTGCAAGCTGTTTCAGCTGTCCCATTTTGAGACCAGGATACGAAGAAAAGGGGAAGATAGAGTAATGGCTTGAAGTCAATGAATAAGATTTTTTTTTTAATTAATCGATGGACTCTATCGTATGTTGTGCGGATTGATTGATTGATTGAGAGGAGGGTAACAACAGAAGAGCAGACATGGCACGGAGGCAAGATATGATATAGATGTGACAGAGGAGAAACTAATAAACAAACATCCCAGGAAAAGGGGCTAAGAAGAAGGAAAGCGGGAGTCATCTATATAGCAAGGACGACTCCACGGGTATCAAAATAAACAGCCGGAACAGTGCAAGGGGAGTTTTCTTGACGTTCTGGTAAGAGAGAGAGAAGGAGGTATTGGGAAGAGAAAAAGGGGGACGTCAACACCGTATAAACGCCGGTAAATGCGAAAGAGACAGCAAAAGAAAAATGACAAAATGGGATATCAATAACATCATATATAGTTGGGCCAGAAAACACCTCCTTTGTGTGTAGATTAGTTCCTGGCAGGTATTTTATTTGATATTTCGTTAAGGTCGTCATTTGCGGTCAAGGGAAAACAGGCTCAATAGACTTCAAAAGAGACTTGGAGACTTGGCCTATGGTGGCGGAGGGATAGGTATTGTGCTGGCATCGAATTCCCAAGCACCGATTCTCGCCTTCTTGTCCCTGTACATCTGCCACGGTGTGAGACAGGCCTCGATACGGCTGGCCCATCGCCCGCTGTTGCTCTTGCTGCCCATCCAGGTGGCGTTGGACGCGTTGTATGCTTTGGTGACGGAGCTCCGGCGCATGGATTCGTATATGTCGAAGGAGTCCTTGACGGGTTGGTGGTAGTACAGGGAGAGTATGCGGGAGAAAAGAATAGCATCGTCCAAGGCATAAGCCGCAGATTCGTCTCTCGGAGGCATCTAAAACAGAAAAAAGATATCCAAGTCAGCAGAGCCGGCCCCAAGTATATAATGGTTAAAGAGGCAAAGATACATACAGCATGAGCTGCGTCTCCCAGCAGCAGAGTCCGTTCTGTATGCCACTTCCTGTCCGGCGGCAGATGATAGACCGGGTACAGCGCCCAGTTGGTCGACTTCTCGATGATCTCCCGCACGCAGGGTATCGCGCAGTCGCCGAAGCGGCCACAGATCTCGTCTCGCAGCCGCTCTGAGGTCGTCCGCCGGTGCTGTCTGTTGGGATTGCGGCTGCGAGGGCCGGAGTCGCCTGATATCTCGGCCGCGTCGACCTCTGCCAGCGCGGCCACGAAGATGTCCTCCTTGGTGCTGTGGCTGTAGGTCGTCAGCAGGCCGCCCTGCCGCGCCCTGTTCATCGCCGTGGTCTCGAAGTGGATGGGCGCGGTGATGCGGTCCGCCTTGATGGTCGTCTGGATGAAGCAGACGCCCGTGTACTCGGACAGCGTCGATGGATCGACCAGCCGCATCCGCGTGGGCGAGTGCACGCCGTCGCAGCCCAGCGCGAGGTCGCCAACCGCACTCGAGCCGTCCTCGAAGAAGATCGTCACCGTCTCGCCGGACTCGATGCCGTCTATCACTTTCTTGCCGAACTTGACCTCGATGTTGCACGTCTTCTCAGCGGCCGCCAGCATCGCCAGGTGAAGCGATATCCGCATCACGCGCCGCGCCTTATACCCGCCGTAGCCTTTGCCGTCCTTGCCAGCAAAGTCGACCCGGCCCAGCCGCCGGCCAGAATGGATGGAGAACAGCTCGACCGCCTTGACCTCGACACCCCCGTCGGCTCCCATCTTGTCGAGCTCCTCCAGCACCCCCAGGTGGTCGAGATGGCGCTGGGCGGCCGGGTTCAGGTTGATGGCGCCCCCAGACGTCGACGGCACATTGTGAAGCTCGAAGATGGTGATCTTAAGGTCCGGTACCTTTTGCGAGAGCTCCCTGGACAGTGCAAGGGCGGCCGCTATGCCTGCTATGCCGCCTCCCAGGACGAGGATATTGCGCGGCGGTCCCATGGGTACCATGAAGCGAGGGAGATCCAGGGAGTTAAATGCAGCAGCAAATGAATAACTATGCAATTACTCCGTACAGCTAAACAAATTACCAAACAGAACAGCTCTCAGAGAACAACGACAACAACAACAACAGCAACAAGCTAGTTAAAAAACGACTTTCGAAATGCAAAGCAGGGCCAGATGGACCAGAGTGTTGATAGACCCAGTGCTCTCTCCATCCTCTTCTCCCCCCCCTCCCTCCCCTTTGCGTCAGGGCCGTGGAGGATACACATTTATATATATATCATCTAGCTACTCGGAAACCATCCAATCGACAAGGATAAACTGCCTCAGAAGAAGCAAAAAGGACC